AGGGAGGAGGGAGGACCCGGGCAACTATAGGCCCGTCAGTCTTACCTCAATCCTGGGGAAACTCTTTGAGAAGATCATCAAGGAGCACATCTGTGATGGGCCGGCATCGGGGATGATGTTCAGGGGCATCCAGCATGGTTTCATTAGGGGCAGGTCATGTCAGACCAACCTGATTGCCTTTTATGATCAGGTCACAAAAGCATGGGATGCAGGTGTCGCCGTGGATGTAGTCTTTCTGGACTTCAGCAAGGCCTTTGACACTGTCGACCACCCCATCCTCGTTAAAAAACTAGGCAACTGTGGCATCGATGCCTACACAGTCAGATGGGTTGCAAATTGGCTGAAGGGTCGTACTCGGAGGGTGTTGGTGGACAGGTCATATTCGACCTGGGGGGAAGTGGGCAGCGGAGTCCCCCAGGGCTCGGTCCTTGGGCCCACGCTGTTCAATTTCTTTATCAGCGATTTGGATGACGGGGTGAAAAATAACCTGTTCAAATTTGCTGATGATACCAAAATATGGGGTGAAGTGGGCACGTTAGCAGGGAGGGAAAGACTGCAGAAAGACCTGGACAGGTTACAGGGGTGGGCTAACAAAAACAGGATGCATTTCAATACTGACAAGTGCAGGGTGCTGCACTTGGGCAGGAGTAACCAGCAGCACACTTATAAGATGGGAAATTCCCTTCTTGAGAGCACGGAGGCAGAAAGGGATCTTGAAGTCATCATTGACTCCAAGATGAACATGGGCCAACAATGTGAGGTCACGGTCAGCAGGGCTAACCGGACCTTATCGTGCATCCACAGGTGCATCTCAGGTAGGTCCAAGGAGGTGATGCTCCCCCTCTACGCGACACTGGTCAGCCCACAGCTGGAGTACTGTGTCCAGTTCTGGGCACCCCACTTCAAGAGGGATGTGGACAACACTGAGAGGGTCCAGAGGAGGGCCACCCGCATGATCCGGGGACAGCAGGGCAGACCCTACACTGAGAGGCTACGGGACCTGAACCTGTTCAGCCTTCACAAGAGAAGGCTGAGGGGGGACCTGGTGACCGTCTATAAACTCAGTAGGGGGGACCAGAAAGGTTTGAGGAAGACCTTGTTTCCCCTAGCGCCCCCCAGAATAACAAGGAATAATGGCCACAAGTTGTTGGAGAGTAGGTTTAGATTAGACATCCGTAAGAGCTACTTCAGTTAGGGCGAATAGGATCTGGAACCAACTTCCAAGGGAAGTGGTGCTGGCTCCAACCCTGGGGGTCTTTAAGAAGCGACTCGATGCCTACCTGGCTGGGGTCATTTGAGCCCAGTTTTCTTCCTGCCCAGGCAGGGGGGTTGGACTTGAAGATCTACAAGGTCCCTTCCGACCCGACTTCTATGATTCTATGAACCCTCAGCACGGAATTTAGGATCCTACTGGCAGAAATCTAAGTTCTACATGTGACAGTTTTATTTTCACTCAATAAGCATTTTGCTGACATGTTCATCATAACTCTTTGCTGCCTTTGGTACTACTGTTTAGGGGCTGAGGGTTCATCGGAGGGAAACAGGTATCTTACCATCACGGCTTTAGGACAGTGTTTGCCCAAGCTAGCTAGATGAAAGCGAACTCAAATATATTTATACGTGTTGCAATCTCATTCTGTTTACAGAGGCTTGGATCCAATTGTGCCTTAGTATTGACCATTCTGTCCCTCTGCAGCTGAGGAAAGAAGAAGGCAGAATCTCCTATGCTTTCCAGAGCTGTGTAGAAACTCATTTCATGGACGCACAAGATTTTGGAGCCCCTCATGTAAGTCTACATTTAAGCTGTGGTTAATTTTTCTCTTCGTGCCATTTTCTGCCTGCCTCTCAGGGTTCAAAGGTGGGATATGGCCTTTAACAAGGACCTCAAGCAAGGGGGTCCATTACTAGACATCTCACTAATGATGTGGAGCACAGCCAGCATGGTCTAAAATTTCTGTTGGAAGTCAGCTTGAAAAGAAGTAAGAGGGTTCCCTGCCTGAGTGAGGCAGACTGGCTTTGGGCTATGACATGGCAGCCCTCTCTTGTAATGAGGACACTGAACCCTGGGGCTGCTTTGAGGGACATTTTCTGATGTAATGCCAGTGTTGGTTTCACTCTAATCTGTATTTTTCTCTTTCTCTCTCTCCCCTACTCTTTCATTTGGGTAAATCTCTCTCCCACCCAATCTGCTCTGTTTCTCTTTGAGGTATGTCTCATACAAATTGAATGCTACAGATCCATATTGCTAAAATCTCTTCCCCTCTTTTTTTTAATCACTAAATTTGCTGAACAAAATTGGTGTTGCATAATGTGCTCCAAATTTGAGTCCATATTGAACCACCTTGAAATTTAAATTACCATTTTTTTTTATTGTTGTACAAATAAAAGGGGAAAAAAGGCAACTCCAAAAAGAAGTCTAGTTCAAAGTTTCCAGATTCACTGTGAAGTTTCACATTTTTGAGGTGAGAGACTCCTTTAACGTCAGATCAGTCATCAAACAGTTTTACTTTTTTTTTCGGTTTCTCCCTCTGGTGATAAAGGATTCTAGTGCATGTGTTTCAGTGAAACATTTAAAATCGTGTTTGTTTGAAAGCTCTGGAGGGGTTGTTAGTGATTAGATGTGTCCGTTACTTTGTGATAACCAATTTATTACGTTGAACCTGACACACTTGAAAAAACCTGCTCTTCACAGAATGCAGTCAGGTTGAGAAAGGTATTGTTGCATCAGTTAACTTTCTCCCTGATGATTAGCTCACTTGGGCTTATTGTTGCTTTCTGTAGAGTACTGTATTCCAAGCTGTCACATCCTCTTTGCAGTCTCTCTTGTAAATGTTACATTTAGGCAAAAGCCAAGATTATTGTGATCAGTTCTAAACCATTTCCATGCATTTGCAAATCTGTCAAAGCACGAGGGCCTCTCTATTGTATACTGCAGTTAAAATATTATTAACCAGGATGTGATTTTTTTTTTTTTTAATGAGACTATTTAATACTCATGAAAGGGATAATATTGACAGCTCTGGAGACTGTAACTGCGTGCATAGGGAATGTAGTATCAGGCTCCTATGGCTTACTTTATGGCTAGGGACAGAAGTTGCATGTAAACTGGTTTAAGTGATCAAAAATTGATTTAAACCTGTAACAGGACAGAAGTTCAGTGCACATAAACTGCTTTAAAAATGGCCAAAACCAGTTAAGATATACCTGGATGGATGTAGTATCAAACTTAACTGATTTAGGTCAAACCAGTTTACAGAATTTCTGTCCCAGATCCACTCCCAATTCAAGTTAACTCACAGTCCCCCAGTATCCCAGGATGCTTTGCAGCCCAGGGCTCTGCTGTCTGCTCCAACAGAGCAGAGCTAGCTCCACCCCGCTGCTTTCAGAGCTGAGGCTGTAAAGCCTCTGCTCCCTAGCCTGTGCCTGTGAGCCTGACAGGATGTAGGGCAGGGGAACAGACCTCAGGACCCCCTAGCCTGGGTCTGCAGAGTACAATGGGAGGGAAAGCTTATCTCTCCTCCCTCCCCCACAACAGACCCGCAAGCCGGGCTGGGATTGCCTTAGCTCTGCCCTACACCAGCTGTCTGAAGGGCTGGGGTGCAGGGAACATGTTACTTTGAATTACCAATTTATCAAATCAAGAGCAAGACCTTTATAAAGGGGGATAAGGCAAAATACCGCGTTTATTGATTACATGAATTAGACATAAAGGTTCGGACACACCACTCATACAGACGCACACAAATCATCCTACACATCATTACACTCAGACATACACAAACACAAAACAACCATTCCATTCAGATATTATAGTTACCAGCAGCAGTTGTTCAATAGGAGTACTGGGTGCCTGGCCCAGGCCTAATGAGAGAAGATGCAGATAGCAGGCTGGAGCGGGGTGAACAGATGTGTCTGTGCTCTGAAGAAAGCAGCAGTTGAGAGAGACTCGCCCAACCTGGTGTATTCCAGAGTCCTCTTTTATGGGGATTGGCACCCTTTGTTTTGCACTTTGGGGTTTTTCCATACCCAATTTCTGTTTTTGCAGTTGTTTCTCATCCATCTTCTGCTTATCTCAGCCCAAGGTCAGTTTGGTCATAACAGTTGGTATCTCAGCCTTGGAGTATCTTTGCTGCCCATCTGGCAGGATGTGTGCATTCCTCCTCCTTGTTATCTCCTGTGTGCCCTAGGCCTCAAAGGGATTCTTCAGCCATCTATTAATTAGTTTACTGCCTGGTAACTTACACATTTGGTGCCTTGTTGCTTACAAACAGTTAAATCCTCTTTTCCTGTCTCTATGCCATTTTCTCACCATTCACCCTTTCTCACACACTCATACATAAAGGGCATGCAGAGTTCATTCGCTTAAATCAAGCACAAGAATACAAAATTGAGTTTTCAAGTTATTTACAGGACAAGACTAACATGGTTACAGTTTACTACTATTACATTCTATGTTAACACCAGCTACATTAGTTCAGTTCATGCTACAAACACCACCCCCCAGCCCAGCACCAGTCTCCCCAGCTGGGATCTGAAAGGCACAGGGAGGGGAAGGCCCCTTCCACCAGGCTTTTCAACTTCCCCCCACACATCCTAGAGAGCCAGCTGGGATTCTTTGGCCCTCCCACCCCGCTGTTTTCACAGGGCTGAGGCAGTAAAGCGTCTGCTCGCTAGCCTCTGCCTGTCAACCCCACAGGACCATTTTGACTGGGAGGCAGGGAATCCTCTCTCTGCACCAGGGGCTTAGGGGACTCTGCCAGGGGTGGGAAACCCTCTCTGAGGCTGCTACCCTAGAAAATGTCCCTGACAGCAGCCCTGAGAGTCAGACATCTCATTTCAGATTTTTCAAGGTGATATTTATATTGTTTTTGTTTTTTTCCTTGTTTACTGATTATTCTTCTCTCTCTCTGCAATGTTTCCCTCTGCAGCTAGGATTTCTATTACATTGCTGTAGCAATTCCAAAGGTAGAGAATGACTCCATCCGGGCAGTTTTGCAGACAAGAATGCACTGGGAAATTCACCCCCATGGCATAAATGTCTTCTAAATTCCTTCCTTCTTTCCTGGCAGTGTACAAGCATGCGGCCTTTTCACGCACAAATTGAATCTGCCAATCTATTGCAGGACATTTTATTGGGGCCTTCCATTTTAAAGCAGAATTTGGTTCTTTCCTAGTTCACTTCTATCCACTTCTGGTAGAAAGCAGGACAGAGTGGCACCTTGGAATACTAACTCATTCAGAAAAGCTTTCATAGGCTACAAGCTTTCATTTGTCTACTTTATTCATTCATAGCATTTGACTCTATCCATCTCTGTATTTTGTTCTTAACTTTATTAATGAATCCAACTTATCACATAATAAATTTAACATTTAAAGATGCATCCGATTCACTAAAATATATATACAGACATTAAACTTCCACCAATTCTGCGCCTTTACCTTAAGTCAGCATCCACATTTGTGTTCTTTTCTGTTCAAGTCTCTGATGGTTCCTTTATATTTCAGTCAATGTTAAGCTTTTGTGTTTCTTTATCTGTATATAATTCACTTCCCAACACTTTTTCCTCAGAACTCAACATAGTGAAAATTTCTACACATCTCTGCTCTTAAATTTTAAATCTATTCTTAAATGTAAGCTCATGGAACTTGCATTTTCCTTAATATTCAACACAGTTTCTCAAACTGTCTGGTTTGGAGGCAGGAGAAGATTCTTTTTTATGAAATTTCAAGAATCTCCACCAAATTTCTAAGCAAGCATCTTTTTTCCTTCTCACCTATACAACAGTGACATGATAAGATGACTTTTCCATTACTAACATTTCCCAAAACTTTTTAAAATCAGTCACTGGTCACTTCTGTTCCAGTTTTTTGCAGCTGTAATTCTTGCAGCTGCTAGAAGATGAGTGGTCAGTCAATTTACAGAAGTTTAGAGCTGGAAGAGACCTTGTGAGATCGTCAGGTCCAGCCCCTCTGCTCTGAGCAGGAAAGACTGCTGGGGTTAAATAACCCTAGCAAGGTGTGTGTCCAGTTACCTTTTGCAGATCTCCAGGGTAGACTTCCGCTAGGAGTCTATTCCAGAGTCTGGTCACACGAACCATGGAGAAGTTTTTCCTTATATCCATATGATATATCATATGAAATGTGGGAGGCCTGATCTTTATGTTACTTATGTGTTGCAGGAAGGTTCAGTAAAAACAGAAACGGGTTACTGGCATCCTGTTATTCCCCAGGATCATGTTATCTTCTTCCAGAACAGTCTTAATTCTGGGACACATCCACCACATCAAATAGAATCCTCCCAACTGACTGCACTCCCGCCAACGTTTGCCTGTTCTTGAACCATAAATATGTTTAATTCTACATAGGATGAGATACCATCAAAATAGGATTTTAAAAACATATTATTACTGTACAGATGGATGTGATAGGACCATTGTTCCAGATGGTGTCCCATTCTTCAGCACTAATTTCTGATCCAATATTAACAGTGGAGTTGTGCCCCTTGCTACTGCTGAGTTGGCAGGGGGCATGGTCGGTGGGGCTCCTGGGGGAAGGGCAGCAGGGTGGAGAGCCCGGAGTCCACAGGAGGCAGCCCGCATCTGCCCCCGCCCCGCACACACATCCGCAGGGATTCATGCCCCTCATATCCCCCCTGGGGGTGCATGCAGCAGTGGGGAACTGCACCCCCCATGCCCTACCCCCTAAACAAGCCACTCATGGCTCTGTCTGACTCCATATCCCAGCCCCATGCACCACCCCGGCTGGGCATCACCCCCAACCCCTACCCCACTCCCTCCCTCACCATGGGGAACTTGATCTGCCTCCCACTTCCCCCCCCCCCATACTCCATTCTCTCCCACAGACTTACCTGCAGGGAGCTGCTCTCCACACTGCCTGGCTGTATTCCCTGCCACGTGCATGAGTGCAGGCATGCACATGGCACCCCCTGTGTCCCTCTCTTGGAACGCTGCCAGCCTGCAAAGGAAAACCCACCATTTCCCGCAGATCTCTGCACAATGCTGCATATCTGAGACAAATGCTGTTCTGGAGTCATGCAGCCTGGGACTGGGACTTGAGATTCCCATTCCAGGACTGTCCCACCCAATTAGGGACAGGTGGTCACCCTATATACAACTCCCTGATCTGGCCTTCACAAATCTAACAAGTCTCACTGCATAGAGGGTAGATCACTTAAAAAACCCCAACCACAATTGACAGATAATAATTATACTGCTTATTGCATAAGGATGATCCTGCCATGAGCAGGCAATTGGACTAGATCTGGGGTAGCCAGTCTTCAGCATGTGTGTCAGCAGGTCATCTAGTCTAAGCCTCTACTCGGAGCCAGACAATCCCCAACTAGATCATCCCAGCCAAGGCTTTGTCTACCTGGGACTTAAAAACCTCCAAGGATGGCGATTCTGCAACCTTTCTGGGTAGCCTGTTCCAGTGCTTTGCTACCCTCTGCATGAGAGAGTTTTTTCCTAATATCTAACCTAAACTTCCCTTGTTGCAATCTGAGCCCATTGCTCCGTGTTCTGTCATCTGTCACCACTGAGCTTCATCCTCTTTGGAACCACCATTCAGGTAGTTGAAGGCAGCTATTAAATCCCCTTTCAGTCTTTTCTGTTCCAGACTAAATAAGTCCAGCTCCCTCAGCCCCATGTGCCCCAGGCATGGGCGACTGGTGCCTTCTGAGTCTGGTGAGGCACGAGCAGGACACAACCGGGGCAGGGCGTTCCCCCAGTGGCCAGCTGGCAACAGGGGCAGGTGGCAAAAGTGCCAGCACTAACACACGCAGCATGGTGGGAGCAGAAGTGCTGGCACTTCCACCACGGGCACGTCAGCTGCCAACATGCTGCTGGTGGAGCCAATTTCAGGGGAGGCACTAGCACTCTCCATGCCCCCTATCAGCCAGAGTGCTCACTCTCAGGGGTGGAAAGTGCCCCCCCTACGTGTCACCTATGGCTCCAGGTCCTTAACCATTTTGTTGCCCTCTGCTGGACTCTCTCCAGTTTGTTCACATTGTTTCTGTAGTGGGGGCCCCAAAACTTGACACAGTACTCCAGATGTGGCCTCATCAGTGCTGAACAGAGAGGAAGAATTGCTACCTTTGATCTGCTGGCAATGATCCTACCAATGCAGCCCAGTATGCCATTAGCCTTCTTCACAATGAGAACACACTGTTGGCTCGTGTTCAGCTTATTGTGCCCTGTAACCCCTGGGTCCTTTTCGGCAGAGTTGCTGTTTAGGCAGTTGATCTTCAGCCGGTACCAGTGCGTGGAATTGATCCATCCTAAGAACAAGACTTTGCATTTGTCCTTATTGAACCTCATGAAATATCTTTTGGTCCAGTCCTCTAATTTGTCAAGGTCTCTGAATCCTAGCCCTACCCTCCAGTGTATCAACTATTCCTCTGAGCTTGATGTCATCTGCAAACTTGTTGAGGGTGTATTCCATCCCATCTTCCAGATCGCTGATGAAGATATTGAACAAAACCGGCGCCAGGTCTGACCCCTGGGGCACTCCACTTGATACAGGCTGCCAACTAGACATCAAGTCATTGATTACTACCCTGTGAGCCTAACAATCCAGCCAGTTTTCTATCCACATTACAGTCCATTCATCCAACCCATACTTCCTTAGTTTGCTTGCAAGAATGTTGTGGGAAACCATATCAAAAGCCTTGCTAAAGTCAAAGTATATCGTGTCAACTGCTCTCCCCCACATCCATAGAGTCATTCATCTCATTATAGAAGGCAATCAGGTTGGTCAAGCGTGACTTGCCTTTGGTGAATCCATGTTGACTGTTCCTAATAACCTTCTTCTCAGAGTGCTTAGAAATGGATTTCTTGAAGACCTGCTCCATGATCTTTCCAGGGACTGAGATGAGGCTGACATGGTCCACTGAAAAGAAAGAAGTGTTTACTTTTCATTTATGTGTCAGCAGCAGCACTTCTCCTTTGGTGGGTAATGCAAAATTTGGCTTATGAGTACTCTTTTCCTGAGTTTTGATTCAGTTCTGTAAGCAAAAGAGTGATGTAGGGTATAGCAGTTACAAGGACAGTTGGAGTGTGTGATAGGTACTCACCAGCCTCATTTTCTTTTGACTAGGAAACAAAGCACTTGCAATAAAAGACCTTCATAACACAATCAAGTCATACATATAATAACAACAGTTTAATAGATTACATGAGAAGCTTGTTTTTTATAAAGTGCAGGATAAGGTTTAATTATTTCATAACCTAGATATAAAGACATTTTAAATCTTCTTTTGAATCTATTTGGCAAGTATTTTTTTTCTGCACTGTATAGTTTTCAGATAAGCCCTGCAACAAGTGACTTGATGACAGAATAAACCAAAAGGCCCTGTTATGGCTCTGGCTGCTGTGCATTTCTTCCTGAAAACCCAAGGCTGCAGGTCCCTGCGCACTCCGATTAGATTCTTCCAATACACTAACAAAGGCGGCACACTATTGGCTCCTCAGAATTTTTCAGACTACGAATCCATAAAACAACAGTACAAACCAGAGATACCTGAGTATTTCAACTTTGCAAGAGATGTGCTGGACAAATGGACTGCAGTGGAAAAGGTAAACTTTCTTCAACTTCTAACATTAAGATTTTCATGAAAAATATCATTGACAAGTAAATTATCTGACTTTGCAATTACAAATCGACTAGAAATTCCCAAGTTCTACTATTCCCCCCAGCTTGGTGCTATAGCGCTGGCTTTCATGAGTAACCTCACTGACTGCTGCAAGGCTATGGATTATATCCAACAAAGGGCTTAGCCATTGTAGCACTGAATTTGTAGGCATATGGCTGCCCATAATGGAATCCAAAACCCAGTGTTATGCCCACAAGTTCCCAGTTCAACGTATGCACAGAGTAGACGCCTCTCAAGGACGATCCAAAAAAGTCCTGCACACTGTGTGTGGAGCTGCCTAGAGATAGCCAATAAAAAGCACTGAAAACAGGGATGTGCCTGGAATCCCACCCTCTCTGGAACTTGAATGTGAGTCAAGACTGTTGGTGGGTGTTGCCATCCACTCATGATCTAGTACCTGGCATCTCTTGAAGGTGGGTACCTACAGATGTTCTTTCAAACAAGTGAGCAGAGCTTATCTGAAGTCAGTGGCAAAACTGCAATAGACTCCAATAAGGCCAGAGTTGCCTCAGTGACTCATCAGTTACGAACATTTGTCTTGTTGAGATCTGAGGGGAAGTGATGCATGTCTTAACCTAAGCACTTATAATGTGCCATGTTGTTCATTAGGAGGGGAAGAGGCCCACAAACCCAGCATTTTGGTGGGTGAATGATAATGGAGATGAGGTGAGGTGGAGCTTTGAGGAGCTGGGAGTCCTCTCCAGAAAAGTGGCTAATGTACTGTTTGAGGTATGTGGCCTACAAAAAGGAGACAGAGTCATTTTAATTCTGCCCCGGATACCAGAATGGTGGCTGGTGAACATGGCTTGTATGAGAACAGGTTAGTAAAAAAACCAGACAAACTAGTATTTATGAATAGAATCAGTAATCAGCACTGAGCAAGCTCAAAATTACAAAGGCATTCTCAATCGGAAACATGGCCATTCACAATGACAAATGAGTGCGATATAGCTACATCTGTCTAAGCTGTACTGTTTGGTTTTCAAGCATCCTTTACTTTTGCTATTAACAAAAGCCTTAATACTCTCTCTGTCTATATCACTGCTCTCATTCTCATTGCTCATGATAAACATCAGATGGATTCTTCTGCTTGCTTGCATATATTCAGATGTGCATCTGAGTGTTTATTAATGGGATTTGTTTAAATATTTATTTAAATATTTGCTGTGTCTAAATATTTAATAAAACCCAAAGTATCTCAGAGCCTCACAAATACTAATAGTTTATCTTCACAATGTCCTTGTGAAGTATTGCATGTCATACTTTACATATGAAGAAGTGAAGCATGAAAAGAATAATTATTTCAGTTGGTGCTTGGGAAAATCGGACACTAGGCAACTTGCCTAAATTTACCAAGGAAGTCTACAGTAGAAGTGAGGTTAAATCTAAATCCAGTGAGCCCAGCCAATACTTTTATTGCAAAACCTTCCTTTTTCTCCAGTACAATTAGTCATATAGCTAATCATCTCTGTCTAGAAAGCTGTTTGCATACATATGGTACCCTTATAGAATGAGTCCTTTATCAAGGGTTTGATGTTTTCTATACATTGTTAGCTGGCTTTCCTAGTAAAATGTGTAAGGTGCCATGATGAAAAATGAGAATCAACGAAGATGCATTTTTATCTGAAGGAAGCAGATGCAGCTATCACTCTTATCAAATGAATAGATGTTAATCCATGACCCTTATTATTCAAGTCCAATGCTGTTATAAGTACAGTACATTCTATACGAGTGAAATCTATTATTTATTAGCTTTTCTTAATGGACCTCATAAATGCCCTTGGCTGTGGTCTTAACCACAAATTTATATTGATCTTAAATAATATAATTATGGAAAAGCAATACATTTACAAACCTAGAGCCAAATCCTATTTGCTTACTCCAGCACATAACTGCTGAAGTCAGGGAAGCTACCAATAAGTGTAAGGTGAATACAATTTGGCTAACAGGTGTGTGCAATGCTATTATTAAGGTTTACATCTGGCACCCCCTTTAGGAACTATCCTTATTCCTGGAACATCACAGCTGACCGCAAAAGACCTTCTCCATAGACTACAAATGTCAAAAGCGAAGTGTATTATCACTGATGATGTGTTGGCACCAGCTGTAGATTCCATTGAGTCTGAATGCCAGTTCCTGAAATCCAAGCTACTGGTGGCAGAGGACCACAAGAAAGGATGGTTGAGTTTTAAAGAACTCATCAAGTGAGTAGCTGTTACAGTGAAAGCCTTGCAGTAATATGAGAGGGAAGCATGCTGGCTGGATTGTGAATAGGACCTGGGAAGGTAAAATATGCTGTAACATTTTCATCTTGTTAGGAGCTGGAAAGATGCACACAAAGGGAAAATACCAGCATTCCTGTTAGAGCCATGACTAGTCCAGTGGCTTTGGGTCTTTTCACATTTAGTGAATGTTTGTCTAGTGTGAAGCCACAAAATATATGAGGCAGCTCTTCCCAAATGGTGGCACACCACTACCATCCAGGATGAAAAGGACTAAGTGGAGGTGCTGGCAATACAAGTTTCCCTGTGCCACCTTAACATTTGGTATTAAAGCTTTTAACAGCTGCAGGATTGCTGTGTTCAGGTAGCATTGGTGCCACAATCCAAATTCAGACCTTAGTGATAAGGTCAACCATTTCCCTGGCATCGCTTTTTTTGTCATGCAGCCCTAGCTCAGTTGTGCTGACTGGCACACTGAGAATGGCTGGCATCATGGAGCTCTCCTCCTGCCCACCCTCTTGCAGGGTCTCCAGCAGGGAAGTATTCAGTTCTCTATGCTCCCCATCTCCCCTGGAGCTGGCTGGCTGTGAGTTCTTGGTGAAATAATATCACAAGCCTTTTCTAATGCAAAAGGTTAAGATGCAGTTTGAGAAAAAGAAGAGAAAAAAACACGGTTTGAAGGTCGCTTTTTTTAAAGTCAGATTTCATGTCATCTGACCTCTCAGGATGTGGTTAAGCTCTGTGCAGTCACCTTGATATACCCTCACAGGATGTCCTTCTCTAAAGAGAAAACACTGTCCCAGTAGTGCTGCTTGGTGCATACTCTCCTAGAACTCCACAGAAGTTATTTTATACAAACACAATCAGGATCTCTGAGTTTATTTTTTGCCTCCTTTTGTCTGTTAAAGATATGCTAGTGCTGACCACAGCTGTGTGAACACAAAACATCAAGATCTAATGTCTGCGTTTTTTACCAGCGGAACAACAGGATCTCCAAAAATGACTGAGCATTCCCACAGCAGTCATGGCATTGGACTCACAGTAACTGGAAGGTATAGTCTGTGACTGCTGTAAATCATGTGTTTTTGCAGAATATTCCAATATCAAAAACTGTCAGTTTCATTAAAGTCATGACAAAACTATTATTCCAAGAGACGAGGAATAATTCCTCTAGTCAGTTATGGTTATATTGGATCAGAACAGTCATGTGAAGTTCCTTTTTATATGATAAAGAAAATCCCCCACAAATCTTTTTCCTTGTATTGTTAGGTACTGGCTGGATCTGACCTCTTCTGATATACTATGGAATACGTCAGACACAGGTTGGGCAAAGTCAGCCTGGAGCAGCGTGCTAGCACCATGGATTCAAGGGGCGTGTGTCTTCGTACATCACATGCCACGATTTGATGCAAGAACTGTCCTGGATGTAAGTGACAAGAAACAATGGAATTGTTTAACAGCAGGCTTTTCCTTCCGTGTTGCTTTTGCCTAAGTTCCCACTTCCTCACCGTTGTGTGATGGGCTGCATGCTGCAAGTCTGCAGCCCTTTACCAAAAGATAATCAACCAACCAGCTCTCAGTAGTGAGTTGTAGCAGTGGTGTAGGACACACATTGAGTGCCTGGGATAGCAGGGGGACACCATTTTGCTGATCCAGCTCGCATTGTCGTTCCCCTCCCCCTTGCCTGAATATGCAGTTGGGTGCAGTAATGCACTGCCCAATTCCTCAGACAGGTAGAGGCAGTGCAGAGCTACCCCTGCTGCTGCAAAGACTTCTAGTGTGGGGAAACAGGGAGGAAGGGTGGTACACTGGCACTGGTGCCTGGGCCCCACCCTAGTTAATGCTATTGAGTAGTTGATACAAGCTTGGTTCAACAAAGCATTTAAACAGATGCTTAACTTTTTCTACCTGCTTATATCACCTTTAGACTAAGGGTAGGGAAGTATGGGACTAAGTACTTTGCTGAATAAAAGCCATGCTGTGTGCCCCTGCCAATATCTGCAGGAATGGTTTGTAAAAATACAGAGATGTTGTTATTAAAGTGAGAGCAGTTGTAGGTCAATGAGAATTTTGTAAAGCACATTGATTTTGGGCACAGTGAAGAAGCTGACATAAGACTGACTTTTCAATTGACCCTGCAAGAATTACTGGCTGTAAAAGTGAAACATGCCAATATCTGCAGGAATGGTTTGTAAAAATACAGAGATGTTGTTATTAAAGTGAGAGCAGTTGTAGGTCAATGAGAATTTTGTAAAGCACATTGATTTTGGGCACAGTGAAGAAGCTGACATAAGACTGACTTTTCAATGTTATATTTTTTAATATCAACACAAGTTATATCCTATCCCATGAGTACCATTTTGGATACTGTGAAAGATATCCAAGCATCACTGTTTGGGGTTTTTTGGTGGGGAGTAGTGGGGAGGCATTGCTCTGGCCCCTTCATACTTTATAATTATGCTAATAACGTAGCATCCCTAGAAAGGCACATTCCTTTGTTACTTTGCCTGGAAAACACTAAAAAATGGCAGATATTTGAGGTATATTTCACAGCCAATTAAACCTTTAAACGGGTGGTTCTCAACCTTTTTCGAGTCGGGGCCTCCCTCCACAGCTCTTGAATATGGCAGAACCCCCTGTTAAGAACCACTGTTGTGGTGCCTCAGTTTACTTCAGTGATTTTTCATTTGGGATATGGCTGCTGCCCTTGCAGGTAGAAGTGCCCCATGTGCCTCATGCATACTCAGATTGGGAATGGCTGCAGCTCCTGCCTGCATCAGGATTCTCTAATAAAGCAGGCCAGCATCTTCCCCTTCCCTCCACCCCTGTCCCATGCTGCAGCCCTTCCTGGCTAGGGGTGGGCAGAACAGTGCTATCTAGTGATGGAGGCAACCTGGATATAGATGCCTGTGCGACCAGAGCCATTGCCGTGTGGAATTGCCCCATGCACCTCTGTTTCCAGGTGTGTGTGGGAATGGACTGGGAAAGGCTGTGGAAGGAGCAGGTGTTCTTGCCTACATTAGGGTTATTAGATGCACCCAATAGAGGTAGAAGCGCCCTCTTCTTCCGTGGCTGTTTCCCAATGTGGCTTCTAAGTGCCTCGTGGAAACCAAGGTGCACAGGGAAGTTTCACCTGCCTGCAGCACTATAGCAATGGCATCTAACTCCAGGGTGCCATAGCACCTTCACAGCCAAGTGAAATGTTCATGCATGCCTCGGTTTCCCAGAGGCACATCAGAGCTGAACTGTGAAGCAGCTTCTGCAGGACAGGGTGCTCTTGCCTGCATAAGGATACATCGCAACAACCCAACAGGTTCTCGTGGCACCCTGGACTGCTGCAGCACCCCAGTTGAGAAACACTGCTTTAAACATACAAACCAGCAGCTCTATGGCTTCCATTATTTTGTAATCAAGTACTAAGAGCTATCATTGTAAGAAATGCTGTAAAGTAGGATACAAAATGTTTTGTGATGAAAAGCCCTGAAATGTCAGGCTAATTGTAAACTGATTGACAAGCTGTTTTACAGAAAAAGCTATCTTAAAATGATAAAAGTGCTTGAGATTTTGAAGGCAGATGTGTTTTCACAATTCTTTACTATTCTAATCAAGTGTTTCATAGATTGGTTACAAATAGTACACTGTAAACATAAGCTTTCTGATTTAAATGATGAAGGAAATCATGGTAACTTCTGCTTGCAACACTTAGCTTTCATTTTAAATCCTCTAGAGTCTGTCCAGATATCCCATAACAACTGTCTGTTCTGCTCCAACTGCTTATCGAATGCTTGTGCAGCATGACCTGACCAGGTAAAGCATAGTCAAAGTATGTTACAGTAGATCAATATATTTGATCAAAATAGTGGGCAAAATTTTGCAGTTTTTACAGCAACGCAAACCTGTAGTACCTTCAAGGTGAGCGCAAAATTTGGCCATGCATTTTTCCATGTCATGAATCTTACCTATCAAAATACAGCAAAGCCTTTTATCCAAAATATATGATATAGGGATAATGCAACTTACATACGTTTAGTAACTTGAGGTAAAAAAAAAATCTTTGAAAAGAAGTCCAGAATTTTGAACCATATTATTGGAAAAAAAAAGACTATTATCCAATCCCAAGCTTTCTTTTCTAGCCCTAGTTTATAAGAACACTGCTTCAAGAAGAAAAATAACTTTTCCTTATTAGCTTGTACTCCTTGAATATCCTAAACGATAGGAATATGCCTGCATCCGGTAGGTTTAACTGAAACATTTGGAGGTTGGAGGTTCTAACTCAATGCCACTATGACACAATCTTTTGTTAATATCATTAAGACCAAATGCCAAGATTCTTCCTTTATTTTTTACTCCAATTCCAATTTTATGCTAAGATTATGGTAAGAGATTAAACGCTGAGTTTCGGTTTTCACAATATGCTAAATTCCGTTTTACACCATATAGTTAAAATGGAATGAAGGGGACTCAGTTAAGAGTTTTATTTCTATTTTTAGTAGAAAAGACAAACAGTGAAGAAATACAATAACAAAAAAGACATAGGAAGTAGTAGATCTACCTTCTGTCACTCTTTCTAGTAGTACAACAAGAAACCATTCAATGCTAGTCTGCAGGTGTGGGGTCTGCTCATACGGAGTCATTTGCAGAACAGGCGCCGTACAATTAATTTTTAAAAGGTGCAAAAAAAGTAGCCTATTTTGCAATTAACCTGCGGAGCTCATTGCCACAAGGGAACGTGGAAGTCAAAAGGGTAGCAGCATTTGGACAAGGTTTTACATTTTTATAGGCATAAGAATGTCCAGCTTTTTCAGTAGTAAGGATAAAAAATACGACAATAATGAACCCTTGTACTTCAAGAATAAACCAACCTACTGACACAGCAAACATGATCTAACCCTTTCTTCTACCCAGTTCCTTCATGGGAATCAGCTCCTATTGACACACTGACACTAAAAGAAGAGTACAGAATCAGCCTTTTGAATTAATTTCCCTTGTGTGGCAAATTATTCTATTTGCCTGACTGACTTTTATTTCTCTTTCACACAAAGCTGCAAATTCAAGAGTCTGCAACATTGTGTGAGTGCAGGGGAGCCAATCAACCCTGAAGTGATGGGAAAATGGAAAACACAAACCGGGCTCGATATCTATGAAGGCTATGGACAGACAGAAACGGTATATCCAAGTGCTTTAGAGATGCTCCAGCAAATTCCATTCATCCTGCCAAGAAAAATCTTATTTAAAACTACAATAAATGGTCTGGCCATCTTTCAGGGGAAGAAATCAATAGTAATAATAAATTATGTTGAAAATAATCTAGGTTTAATAAGTTATCCAGAATTTTAAAGCCTGGATTCAAAGCCCACTGAAGATAACGAAAGGAGTCAGGCCCTGTATTGGCTCCATTGCACTTTGGATAGGAACCTAATACTGCAAAACCACATTCCTGTTCATTACATGCCAAATTTTGCTTTCAGATTCACATTCACAGCTGGTCCTAATTTCCTTCAGCACTGTACATGTAATGCCAAGAGCAGAACTTGGATTTTAGAAGTTTTATCAGTGGTTGCATGATTATAGTTTTAATGATTGCTTCTCACAGAGCTGCTATACAGTGGGTGTGTCTACAAGAGACATTTACTGCAGAGTAAACTATTTAGCTCCACATTAAATATTTCACATCCACATGTGCAGCCCTATTAGTCCACAGAAAACTAATCAACTCTGCAGCAGGGTAGTACTTGTAAAAACAAGTACTATCCTGCTGTGGAGTTTTTTTATTCCATAGCACCACATGTGTAGACACTGACGTGGCTGGCTGGGGCATGAGAGTGCTTCAAGTGTGGAGCCCGCCTGCCAGCTAGCCCCACACTGGAAGCACCCTTGTGCCCCAACCAGTCCCTCCGCAGCATGTTGAGCTGGGTAAGAACAGCCCTGGGCTGGCACGCTGACCCCCTGGACCCTGCCAGCTCGGGCTGCTCTGATCCAGCTAGCATATTGCAGTCGTGGGTGCACATGTAAAGGTGGAGCCTGGAAGCAATAAACTCCAGTGTGATAAACTCTGGTGTCCCGTGTAACTTTATTTGTGATTATTAATTTAGTAACTTGAAGGTGAATCAAAAGTCTGAATCCACACGCTATGTAGTTTAATTTTCAAAACCTTTTGATACAGGTGCTGGTTTGTGGAACTTTCAAGGGAATGCAAATTAAACCCGGTTCTATGGGAAAGCCATCTCCAGGAGTCAGGCCCTGTATTGGCTCCATTGCACTTTGGATAGGAACCTAATACTGCAAAACCACATTCCTGTTCATTACATGCCAAATTTTGCTTTCAGATTCACATTCACAGCTGGTCCTAATTTCCTTCAGCACTGTACATGTAATGCCAAGAGCAGAACTTGGATTTTAGAAGTTTTATCAGTGGTTGCATGATTATAGTTTTAATGATTGCTTCTCACAGAGCTGCTATACAGTGGGTGTGTCTACAAGAGACATTTACTGCAGAGTAAACTATTTAGCTCCACATTAAATATTTCACATCCACATGTGCAGCCCTATTAGTCCACAGAAAACTAATCAACTCTGCAGCAGGGTAGTACTTGTAAAAACAAGTACTATCCTGCTGTGGAGTTTTTTTATTCCATAGCACCACATGTGTAGACACTGACGTGGCTGGCTGGGGCATGAGAGTGCTTCAAGTGTGGAGACCGCCTGCCAGCTAGCCCCACACTGGAAGCACCCTTGTGCCCCAACCAGTCCCTCCGCAGCATGTTGAGCTGGGTAAGAACAGCCCTGGGCTGGCACGCTGACCCCCTGGACCCTGCCAGCTCGGGCTGCTCTGATCCAGCTAGCATATTGCAGTCGTGGGTGCACATGTAAAGGTGGAGCCTGGAAGCAATAAACTCCAGTGTGATAAACTCTGGTGTCCCGTGTAACTTTATTTGTGATTATTAATTTAGTAACTTGAAGGTGAATCAAAAGTCTGAATCCACACGCTATGTAGTTTAATTTTCAAAACCTTTTGATACAGGTGCTGGTTTGTGGAACTTTCAAGGGAATGCAAATTAAACCCGGTTCTATGGGAAAGCCATCTCCAGACTACAATGTCCAGGTATTTTACCACTGTACCCTTAGGGAATTTTTTCTTAAAGTAAGAAGGCTCTGATTTCTTTGCAGGAAAGCACAAGTAAGCCCAGGGAAAAGAAAGAGGACTTATTTTTCCTGC